TCCAAGATTTCGAAAAAACTACATAACAGGCATAATATTAAATACTCGGAATCAAGGTGTACTTCTAACCAATAAATTGACAGTGGGAGATTGTTTGATAATTTGAATAGCGTCAGTATGACTCATACCATATGTTGACCGGCCGTTAATTTCTATTAACTGATCACCAATTCTTAAACGACCATCCAAAGCTGCTGGACCATCGTCTGCCATTTTTAAAACGAATAATGGCATAGAATCGAATTCTCGTCCGCCACGAATCGAAAATCCAAAACCTTTTGGCCCTCGAGCGAGTTCAATACGAACAAGTACTTGTCCCTGCAACGAAAATTCATTTCTAAGGACAAAAATGGCTCAAATAAGCAACAATGGTCAAATGCAAATTTTAGAATACATGAACGATAATGCAAAATATAAAGTTTCATGCTTATTGATGAGCACCAAAGTTAAATTTTTAAAGCGAACCAATCACTCTTTCAATACAAAAAATCAAAATATTGGGTAGACATTCCGTAATCCATATATCTGATTACGAGCATGAGATTGTCGAGTTGAAACTTTTAAATTTAGGTACTTACAGATAATAAATTATGAGTTGTTACCCAGGTTCAAGGTGCAAAGGAACAGGCACTGTTGAACCTGGCGGTTTGCAAAGAGCATGGAAACCAGCTCTATACTATTTGGGATGACATTAAACAAGCATTCGATTCAGTTAATCACGAAAGCCTGAATAAGTGAAAGGCTTAATATGCCATAGATCAGTAGGTTTCTGAGCAGAGTACATCCAGATGAGCAGTTGTACTAAAAAGCAATGGAAAACTGTAATGAAGAAGAAAATACAACGAGGAATTCTCCAAGGACAGCCTTTCTATATTCGTTTTGCGCATGGAATCGTTGAGCCGTAAGTTGGACTTGAGGTTTCCAAAGGTTCCTTCCGATCAAAAAATGCATGTACGAACCCTTTATTAAGTGTAGATGATCTCAAGCTCCTTGCTACCTATAAGAATATCATGAAATTCAAGGCCAAAGAAGTCCGGAAGTTTTTCAAAAACATGGTTAATAGGTGAATCCAACAAAGTCAACCACTAACACCGAGGCATACGCTGATAAAGTTGCGCTATTGAAAGGAGCTCAAGGGTCTTGGGATAATGGAAAATAGGACTAGTGCACCTACCCGTGAAAGCTACGATAAAGTCCCAGCAGAGATTTTAGTGAGAACTGAGTATTACATCGGTGAGCTCGAGCTGGAGCAAGAAGACTTCAGAGCTATATAGACAACGATATTAGATAGTTACTATACAAATATGGAATGTACAAGCAACCTGTATGCTTGGAAAGACTGCACCTGCCAAGGGAAGAGCTGGAACGTGGACTTCATAATGTTGAGCAGAATAGTGAGCTTATGCTTCTTCAACTACATAATGTTCTTGTAGATACCGCACCTACATGTACCAGAAGGGCAGTGATTCTCAAGCAGGAGAAAGCTCATAACACGTACTTGGCAATTATCGAGCCTTCTCGAAAGACTAGGTACAGCTTCGCAAAAATTTCACCGTTGAAAACGTATTAGCAGCCCAGAAGGCGTTCTTGTATAGCGAAGTAGAAAAGAAAACCCACTATGCAAAGTTATACAAGATGCGGACGAATAAAATCTCGTCTATAGTTGATTCATCAAAATGGCTGCGATACGGAAACATTACCCGCAAAATGAAGCACGATACTGTAATTTCCAAGATAGAAATATGTTTGGAGCTGAGAAAGGATGTGCCAACATTGTAAGGAACGTGTGAAGACAGTGGACCATCTAGCAACGCAGTGCGAAAAAATGTTACATCACGACTATACCAGAAGATATAATGAGGCCCTACGATGCATCATCCATTTCGGACTCTGCAAGAAGTATGGTCTGAAAGCATTCCCGTGCTTGCGCAGCCATTTTGTTCAGGAGCCCGTGGCGAATGAGAATGTTATAATCACAGTCGATATGCCAGTGAGAACTGCAATCAGAATAAAAGCGGCTCGACCGGATATCATGATACACAATAAGAAGTGACGTGAAGTAATCCTGATAAAAGTTGGCATCACTCGTTAGGACAGAGTGACAGAAATCGAGACCAGAAAGAAGCGAAAGTATGATTTAATAAACTCGGAGCAAAGATGAAATGTGAAATGAAAATAGTCCCGCTTGTGATGACTTCGAATGGAGTAGTGACGAACTTCCATAAAAGTTACGAATACCCGATAGTGCTCAAGAAGACGCTGGAAAACATTGCATTCGATCAGCGCTGTGCATTCGACGAGAATGAAACAGCGGAGACCAGCAAAGCAGAACTGAACGCAGGGTGAATGCAGCGAGAATGCCAGAATACGACCCAGCGCCAGAATCAACATGGAAAAAAAGAAGAATAAGCCCTGTGTGATATTGATCTGATTATATAGTCAACCAACTGAATATGTAAAGTAAAAAAATTATGTATTCAACACCAATTTAAAATTGAATAATCTAAACAATAGTTCAACAATTCTTGAACAATTATAATCAATCAATTATCGTAATTGACGAAGACAATGACTTAAGATCATTACACAGCAATCCACTTTTAGTTTTTCTAGTTATTAAAAAATGTTGTATAACGATTTTGGGGCTGAATCAAAACTAATAAAATGGAAATGGAAGGATTTCAGGACTCATTCTCTTCTGTTGGGAAATAAAATCATTGAATAAAAAGAACCCACCAATCTTAAACTACAGGAAACCGAGAAAAACAGAGAACAAAAATGTCAAATGTAGATCACATTTCATTCTGATTACAGTAAAAAAGACGGCTTAATAAAATCAGGTGAAATATACCCTCGACGAAGACCAGCTTCATTTTCAAAAAACCAGAAATTGATGAACGAACCATTTTCGAAGGTATCAGAGATGTACTGTTGACATAATCATTTTCAGCGACATATCTATATTGCGCAAAATCAGAAGAGTGACTGCGGGATGGACCGTGATGGTAATCGCGACTAGGAGTTTGAGATGACTGTTCATTAGTGGCAGTTGATACTAAATGTAAATATGATGTTTAAGAACTTAAAAATCATAAATGAGACAATTCTGCGACTTGATGAAGATAGTTTAGATATGAAAATTCCAGGTAGAGTAAGGGAAAGCTGATGTTTTCATCATGAACTTTTATTTTCGGCATCTAACTGATGTGAAATGAAAACATGTGAAAGTAAGGAAATTTCTTGATACTTTAATGCGTCGAAGTTTTCAAAGAAGGAATATCAGAGAATGAGTAATTGTTTTACCCATGTGTTTGCTTGATAATGAAGATGATATCGTTAACCTCACAGATAAACCAGAATTTTTAATTAATTTAATGACATCTCTTTGTGGTAATTTGGCAATATCATTACCATTAACAGCAAGGATGCGATCACCTACATGTAGCTGCCCACATGAGGCTGCAGGTGACCCTTCCATAATCCGTCCTATAATTTCCTTTTCAACAATTAAGATGCAATTATCATTTGCAATGTTTCAGGGAGTGATCGTGATTCATAGTAAGATTTGCTTTAATATCTGTAGACCAAAAATTGTCTTAAACAATATTTACACTAGAACTACAATTTCGAACATGCATTTCTATTACTTCCCTTTTTTCTATGACTTTAGATTTCAAAATAAAAGGTTTCTAAACTAACCGATAGTACTGCCATTATTATTAAGTGCAGATGTGATAATGAAACCAAAACTATTACCATGAGCTCGATGCAAAACAACATCATAAGTGAAGACTGCTGAGAGCAGATGTTTAACATATCAAATATAAAAAGAATTTAATTTACGCTCATAATACAAATAAATTTTAGTAAACATTTTCGAAAATGTCCACGTGAACTTTGAAGCCATTGATTCAATAAGCGTTCAGTAAAAATCTGTTAATAAGACACATTAACACAAGCATGAAACATGTCCTTTGAATTTGAATACAATACAATGTGACGGAAGCCTAGAAATGGTCACCTCTCGTTTTGTTACGACGAATAATCAATTCAACATGCCCATTAACAGCCGCTTTTTGCATCAACTGTATAGCCATAGCATGACTTTCGCCTACAACATTCTCACCACTAATTTTAATAATTTCATCTCCTTGACGCAGACGGCCGTCATTTGCTGCAGCACCTCCAGGTAGTAGTGGACCAATTTTTATAACAGTTCCTTCCTAAAACGTGAATATTTCATAATAGCGAGGTGAGCAACATGATTATAAAATTTACAGCCTTTAATGACAATGATAAAAAACATTACTTCCGTTCCACCCACAACTCGAAAACCAAATCCAGTCGGTTTTATATTTAAATTAACTTTGATCGTTTCGGTGTCTGGATCAGTAAGTACTGTCATTGGCACATAATTTGGAGTTGAAAAACCTAAACTTGTTGATGATGGTCTCAAATCAGAGAAATTCTCGTAAATATCTTCATTTGGACACCGTTCATGCTGCTGAAATTGTAAACGTACTTGCAGCACAAATTATGATAGTCATATCCACAAATTCCAGAGAAAAATTTAGTAAAGTGCATCGATTTTTAAAATAATAAATAAGCTTACTCTAGGAATTGTATTTCTAGCTCCATATGTAGTATTGGAATCATTATTTGCAACTGGCTGACTGGGAACGCTTTTGGGTACTGGTAATGTAGTAGAAGAGTGGAAATAAGCTTTTGTCGGTGGCAAAGGATGCGCTATAGGAGTTTTAGAGCGTGACATCAAAATGGGTGCTGGAGTAGGCCGCTGCTCACCATAACGAAATGTTGCTGATGGAGTACGTGACCTGAAATTCGAGTGTGAATGTAATGAAAAACTTCGTGTTGCCGTTGTTTCACTATCTGTAATCTATCTTTAAAGTCAAAAATCAATACATAAAAAATGTATGATACGATAAAAACAGCAAAATGTCACAGACACTTCATAACTCAACAACTGGAGTCTGAATGACAGAACCATGAGAAGCATTTATCAAAAAGCCTCTACCTATGTTTAGGAGAATTTCGTCGCACGAGTAATTTAGCCCAGAATCCAATAGGACAATCATTAAGGATAGAAATCAATTCATGGTGAGGCATTCCACGGAAATTGGTAACACGTTCTTCACCCATCGAAATACCTGTACTTTCATACGGATATGTGGTTCGCATCTCTAGAAGAGTATCACCTTCCAATAAATTTTCACACTTTTCCGGGCAGAGGATTTTTTTCACCCGCTGCCCTTGAATGCTGTCAAAAAATGTGAATCCGAAACCATTATTGTCCTGAAATATACGATATTTTTTTCGGAGTTTCAAATAAATCTGCATAAATACAAAAATCTTATGGAAGCTCTAAAAATAGTAATCTTACTTTACGAATAATAATTTCTCTTTCATCGTCTGATCGCGTAATATATGCATTCTCAGTAACAATCTAAAGCAAACAAATAGCAATTTTTGATCATAGAAAAAATCCTCAAATAATATAATTCTAATTCATTCTCAATTTGTCTACTCCAACTTCTAACAAGTGGAAAATAATTAAATTTCAACCAGAATAGATCTTGATGAAAGAGTACTTTATCCGAAGGGTCAAAATGCAGCGCATATCCTCGGCAAATTTGTAATGTTACCAATTCACCAACATTAATAGATTGAAATACTAAGCAAGCGTGAGCTTGAGTTGCACCCAACATGCATTCGCTGTTGACATACACTAAAACATCTCCTTTCTGCAGTACACCATCTTGATAAGCTGGTCCACCAGGAATTACATTCTTGATCTTGAAAAGCACCGTTATAAATAATGATCTAGCATGCCATGATTGTGTTTTCAAAACAATAATTCTAAGGAATTTGTTTCAACCTGCAAAAATTCATCATGTGACGAACTACCATCGTTCCCAATTAATGTAAAGCCTAAGCCCTTCGGTCCTCTCAAAATTCTCGTCGTTATTAGTTCACCACGAAGTTTGGAAGGATCCCTGCAAAGAAGATGATACACAATCAAAGGACTCTTGAAATGCAGGAGATTTTGAATTCATCAGAATAATAAGTTTCAGTCCGTACAGTTATAAGTTGGATTAGATTTAAAAGTTTTGCAAGCCAATCAAAATGTCCCTATATATACAGACAACGCTCGACACTACTCGAAATCACGACGCTCGACACTACTCGAAATCATTTTTGAAACATTAGTAATTGTGCAAACCTGGTAAAAGTATGCACGGATCCAACTGCATGAGATGGTGAAGAATGATCGCTATAAAGAGCCGATTGCGGGTTAGAACAAGAACCATTAACGAGAACCTCATTAGTCGCCGTGTTACTACTATCATGATAACTTGCAAGAGTATAAAAACTGGAAGAGTGATTATACGATCGCCTGACTTCAGATACTTTTTGGAGCGCTGGAGATGAAGGTCTCTTGTATTGTGCGCGCTTACTTATATGACTGAAAATTTTACTGCTCTAATAACTAGTTCAGATGCTTGCATTGGCAAACATTAGCACTGGAAAACCTGATATTCATTATCTTGGTTCTTAATATGCAAATTAAATCCATTAGATGGTCTTTTGCTCATAACACTTTTTGCACTTGCAAGTATTGTTGTAAGTATTATTCCGCAATTTGTAAGTATTAATCTCATTCACAGTTGTTTCTACCACTAATAATGATATTACATGCTACTATACGACCGACAAGCAATTCATTGTTTCTTTTAATGACCAAGAAATGATGATACCTAGGAGGAATAATAAGCATACAGACAGTTTCAACGAAAATGCAAAATGGAAACTACAGCTACAGCACGATGGAAAAAGAAAACATTGAAACTAGTAAATAGAAAATTAAATCTAAATAATTGAATCACAAGCCAAATTTATCTACAGGTAACTAGATTACTCTGTAATCCCCGTATATTTTTCAATCTTAAGTCAAATTTATTTCTTTAATGTCATAGACGTACCCATTACTGCCCAAAAACACTTTGGAATATTGGCCTGCAGTTACTTTCAAAAATTACATCTTCAGATTCAGTAAAAAAGATACAGTGCTAAACCACTTGTAGAAGACTAAATAAGATGAAGACTATTTTAAATAGTTAAAGAGTCATTACTTTGAATAAGTGCAAAATTACCAAATACCGAGAAAATTAACACTTTTCTTTTTGCTATGGGTTACCTGCGACTTTACCCATTCAAACAATAATCTATGGAACAAGATAAACAATAAGGTTTGAATAATTGCATGGAAGGTTAGTACACTTAACGGAATGAGACAAGAAAGGCAATATGAGAAAAAGTGCGAAGTGAATTTCGTTTCTCATTCCATTGAATCAAAGTTGTTTATCTTTCCTGAAGAACAAATGGCTGCAACAAAGACTCGAATGAGCTAAGAGAGGAAGATGAGGTGAAGTGTCATATGAAATAATATTCCAGGGGTTACAAGGATGAAACTTTAAAAAATCCTCAACTAATCTTTAAAGCGGCTAATTTTTCATTAATTAAAGTGTGAAAATGAACATACTGGAATTAAATGCCATGAATTTCCCGTAGCATTAAATATCTGATAATTACATTCTACTCTGTAAACCTACTAAACAAGGATTAAATGTACTAGTGCTGAACAGATCATATGTAGCATAAATTGAGGAGCATGCATGGGTTTAAGTTACCAATAACAATAATTATGCTTTTTTTTGCATTTTATTTGAAAAGGAAAAATTGTATTTATTGAAATACTGTTGCTGAACACCTAGTTTTTCAGTGGTCGATGCTCCTAACGTTAGTAAAAGTTCACCGTTCACAATTTAGTACTTCTAAGTTCAACTAATTTCCAAAACTTCTTGCTAGTATATTCTTGAGAAAATGAAAGAATTGATATTACAAATACCAATCAATAAATGGGCAGCGAATAAATGCCACGCACTATCATATAACTGACAATTTTATATTCAAGAACATAAATACTCACTCAACGTACAAAGTTCCATAAGCTCCATCATCCACTTTTTCCCAGCTTGCAGGTAAATCTCTTGGATCTTCCCATTGCGTTGTACCCGTATTATGGCTGCAATTTTAGAACTAAAACAACTGATATTTCTAAGAGTATTCACTCTTTCAGAAAACTTCAGCTGTGGAAAAACAAACGGAAATTGTGACACAACCTGCTCATGAGACTCAACACATAAATCAAACGAACCAGTTTTCTATGATTAAAAGAAAGGCTTAGTAAAAGTAGCTATCAATTTATCAGTTAAATGTAACTAAGTTTAAATTATTATTTTTATCATTTTTTATTATTCATCTATTATTATCATTACTAACCACTATTTACTAATACTTATTTGTTATTATCGGTATTTATAACTCATTCATCATCTACCACTACTACTACTATTTATCATCATTTACTATTTGCCATTATTATTATTCCTCATTATTACATACTGTTATTTATCGATATTAATACGTGTTACTCACTGTTATTTATTACTCAATCCACTGCTTTGTTGTTTCTTGATTATTATTTACTGCTTATCAGTATTTATTGCTTCCTATTTGCTCTCTATTATTATTCATTCCCTCTTATTTATCATTACCATTACATATTATTCTATTTTTATTATTACTTACTATTACTATTATTACTTACGATTGATCTGTAGTATTTATTATTACAATATTCATAAAAATTTACAACCATTTCAAATACAAAAAAGATCTGCAAGTATTAGAGCATACTCGACAAAATATTTCTCCCCTTGGTCAGAGTATGCTATTTCCCAGTTAGAAGGTAATGCTTCTTTAGCATCGCTCACCATCTCTGTTTCATCTTCCGTTGGTTTTGACGTCCCATAGTAGTACCCTTAAAAAATAACTAATCTTCCATTTCTGTCGTTAATATTTATCTCAATGAACATAAAATACTATAACATCATAAAATCCATCTAACTACTACACTTAAACAAAAGAAAAACGTAGGGCAGGAAAAAAAGACGAAATTAAAAAAACTAAACTGACTCTGATAGCTCTCTATATGCTCGTAAGCACAGAAGGCTCACATGACATGACTAATATTTGAAACATCTATTACCCTTCTTACTAAATGCGATACAAATCACTTTTACAATTCAACCAAAAGGGCGCATGATAATAATCAAAAACCATACTTGCAAATTACGAAAAGACGAGTGGAAATCACAAAAGTAATGCCGTTATAAAATCGGTGAAGGCAAGTCATTTAACAGGGAAAGAGAGAGTGCCATGCATATTCGACTACGATGAAGAGAAACTGCTTATCAGTTCATCTCTTCTTGTTAACATCGTCAACATCTTTAATTCTTCCATTAATAAGTTCCTTTCTGATTAACAGTAAAATATTAAATATAGACAGTACGATGGATTTTACGATGGGATCAAAATATAAAAAATGAAATCTAGTACAGCATAAACATTACTCAGGTATACATACCATGCATTAATTGTGAGAGCAACAGAATTTCGATCTTGAACGCCGGAGAAATATGGTTATGCCAGGTTAGGTTTAACTAAGATAACAATTGTAAGTTATTGCAAGCATACAGCAGTACTAATTCGATAAAGGTCATGTATTTATAATCAGAGTTAAAGGAAAAAGAGGATTCCTATATATATCAGACTCAATCACGGATAATCACTCCATTACAAATGTGAATAAATTAGCAGAGCTCCCACTACATGTCACTATACTTCATGAAATTAGCTTCTCCCGCTAATAAAAAATTAAACAAATGTAGAACACAAATTATTTTTTTCTGCCATAATTTGAGCTATGCAGTTCATTCTTCTCTTAACGAATGCATGAACAGGAAGAGAACTGCCCGTCAAGCGTAGAGAATGTTTCAATACTAGAAATTAATTGCTCATCTACAAGCCATAATCCTCAACTGATGAAAGACCACTATCAGTAAATCATGCATATATATCGCTGCCACCTTCTCTGAGTAGCTCTTCCATTTATCATAATTTCCACAATAAACATTATCCGAATCTCCTCAAGCAAGTAATATCAATAAATGATAGTCGGAAAGACAATACTACGCATCAATATTTCTAAGGAAAAAACAAGAATTATTTCAATTATAATGACCAAAAAAAAGATTGAGACGAAAAAACTAACTCAAGTTAATATGCACTCCATAATGCCAAGCTATTTAGCACTTTAATCTTATTCAAATGTTTCAACAAAAAAAATCAAAAAGGTACAAGAAAAGAGTAAAATTGTATTTCGAATAAACAGAAAGCTCATCCTTCTTTTTCAGCCAAGAAGAAAAACTAAAATAATGTAACACACAAACACCAAAGAAGTAATACTGATCTTTGTCCAGCACTGCATCATAATTATCTCATTTCTGAAAATCAGTTTTGCGAAAAATCATTTCTAATAATTTTTAACACTGTATTTCACTTCGATTGTCGTGTTTAAAAAGATGCATATAATCATTTTGTAAACGCTGACAACTATAATACAAACTTAAACCAATCAATAACCTCCTGTATCACTGAAATCTCTTAAAAGCTGTAATAACCTGATATCCTCCATAACAATGTTAGGCAAATTCAATGAGCAAAACAAGCAAATACTAATAATAATAAGAGTAGTGATAAAAATTAATAATAAATGATAAGTAATAAATGGCAAGTGATGATAATGATTAATTATAGTGCTACTTCAAGTGTGAATAATAATACATCATTCGGTACCACAAAATTAATGTAAAAAGAAACAAACGAAATATAAGGCACGGATCATGAAGGTGATATTTTTTTTAAATCAATCCAACAATGAGACACGACACCATTTCGAGCTGCATGAATAAATAATAGAACTATGGAAGTCTTATCTATGTTTAACGAAATTAGATGTTATCTAACTTGCTCTGCATTATCATTCACCACTTGTTGAATAAAGAACAAGAAGAAATGATAGTAAAACCAAGTCTGAAAGCAAGCCATGTTGGTGATGGAGGATGGGGACAAGGAATGACACGAAGTCAACCTCTTCCTTTTCATAGTTCACGTAACTGCCGACACAAACTCGAAGAACACGAACTTAAACTTCAAATGCTTTCTTTCAAGCAATCCTCTGCGTCTTACACATTTGCAAAGAAGCATTAACCAAGCAGCTGAAAAAGAATTTATATGCAATGTGTTTTCTCACCTTCCGTCTGCTTCACACTCAAATAGAAGCAAAACATGACGAACAGAGCTTCTTATAAGCAAATCCAATTTCTATATCATTAATCAATACTTCAATCAGTAAATCAATAAAGCCATGTGGGTGCACTTAGAATGAAAGAGCGAAAAAAAATGCAACTAGAATAATGCCGAAATAAAAGGATTACACGCTATAGAGAAAGCAATATTTAACTAGCCCCTGTGAAGGTCAAATGGGTCGTCCATTGACCACCTCACTCCACAACCTATCCTTGACTTTACGTGACCTGTAGAACCATGTTAAACAGTATACCGCACAGTGCAGTACCCATATCTTTCCAAACAGATGGCAGAAATGTACTTCTGTGATGATTATGTGTGGTGTATCTGTGTATCAATGTACAATATCATAGCATATCGAACAGCTGTACATTCCTGTAGAAGAGGAAAGAGATAATGCAATTTTCACTGCAAATAGGGCGAAAGTTGAGAAGTACTACCATTGGCCTCACTATATCCGAAATGGGCACGGTCATCCTTCCAAGACGAGAAATAATGCAAAAAGAATAACTAATTATTGATCATCTGTTTGCTGATCAAACCATATAGCTACCAGTGACAGTTGCTGTATGAAGACTAAAACCAATATTTATCCTAACCTTCGGCTGATTTACAACATTACTGATTTAGGTAAGAAACTAATCGATATTCAGCCTCCTCTAAAGTCTTCAAGGAAGATTACCAAACAAAATATAGTAACGTATAGTTCTCCTACCTTTGACAAACACTAATTAGTGGGAGAGAAAATCTTCGCTCAAAAAAATATGGTCCTCGCTAACATTATGAACTATAATTAACCGACTGTACAATATCAAAAATATACGTAAAAAGGATCATAACACATGTCACAACTCAATTTTAAGCAAAGCTTGTATATATGCACCTGTTGAGGAAGGTTTAAAACCACTATTACTTGATTACATTCCTGAACAAAGTCACATACTAGTATTTGTTCTCATTAATCCCAAAACTCTAGGAAAACTTAAACTGCCCCTGTTGGACTGCTTTATATCACAAAAATAATCCGAAAACTACGAAGTTCGTAAAGTTAGTATATATCAATACCTCATTTACCTAGGTAGCCAGGAAAATGATTAAAAACAACATGAAATCCTATTTATTCGGGAAAAACTTATGACGAAGATAAAGTGTCCTGTATTCTAGCTCAACCCTTCCCGGAAACTTATGACAACTAAAATCATAAGCCCAGATTCATGAACCCTATATAACATAATCTAAATTGCGGGTTACTCTTTGTGTCAATGATGTCTCTATTCAGAAACTGTCACTAAAAATTCTTAACGAAAATATCTTAATTACCACGAATAATTCATACAACCCAAGTTTTAAAATCATCAGATATCAATTTCCCTTGAAATTTATTTAGTAAAAGTAGTATCGATCATGCATGTCTAATGTGAAAACATGGAACAGTTTCCAAGAAAGAAATTAGTGGAAGAAAAACAATTAGAGCAAGAATTTCTTGGTATGAATGATTTCGAATTTATACGAGTTATGAAGGACAGAATGCAGAGATAGTTCGCAACAGATCACAAGAAAAATAAAAGAATTATGCATTATTTTCGAATTATAATTGACCTTCTACTCCTTATTCTATACAATGAAATGTAATTTATAAAACCCAAGTTTTAAAATCATCAGCACTTACCACTAAAAAAATTAAGCCTCCGAACACATGTATCCAAAAACTTTATTCAACTAAAGTAAATTAATTCCCAACGAATATGATCAGTCTAACCAGAAGATTATATCGAATGTCTGTCAGAAAACAGTAGGTAGCGGGTATTTAGGTAACAGTTTACCCAAATTTAATTTCATTTCGGTAAACGATAGATATACGAGAGAGTTGTAATGTAAGAATAACATAAATGAAAGTTCTCAGTTATAAACGCTGATCAAAATACAGAAACCTTGAAAATAGCCATGCTCTAAAAGTTGACTGCTCTCAACTAATAGGCGAAAAGCTTCTTCATCAACAAAATTGTAATTCACACCATCGATTTCACCATGTTTTGGTGGTCTTGTAGTATCTGAATAAAAATTTTAACTATAATTTCAAAATTTTTAAGTTTAAATTTTCCTGAATAAAAAAATGGACTCAGTTACAAATGATTAAAGTGTCATATCTATAATCCATCATTTAGAAAAACCGCGAATTATTCATACCACATAGAAAATGACAAAAAAAAATCTTGAATCTCAATGAGAAACTCATAGCACTATTGATAAATTCAAAATAAATACTAACAAGGTACGGTCTTTTGATAAATATTACGTCGAATGGTGGCTTGCAGATTCGTAAAATCACCAGCTGACAGGATTTCTGGTATTGTTGCAGGTAATGAATCTGAACAAGCAAATACACACGTTTTCAACAATTATGTACATAAAATATAAATACATAAATACATGCAACGAGCTGCTGAATTGCATCACCAAGCAAGAAATGCAGAGTAGATCGAAAAAAGCGAATTTGGAAACACAATCGAAACCGTAACGCATATTAGGTTGTAAAAAACACCATGAAGGATGATGAGAGAGCTTTTCTCAAGTGCTCTAAAAGCAGATATCATCACGATGATTAGGCTCGAAGCATCCATCGAGCTGCTGATGTACATTCAACAATTGAATTGTCTACGAGGCTGTAACAAG